TGGACTCTTGGCCTCTTCGGCTCTAGGGCTGAAACCTTGGGCAAGTGACACACCCTCTTTGTGAAGACCAGGTGGACTGAGCTGTCCCTGGCAGCCTGAGTCAGGGTTCACCAGGAACTCAAGTGAGCCCTATTGAAACCACCTTTGCAAAAATCGTAACTGAGAAAATTATGATAGTAAAAGATATCAGACCTAATTGACCCCATCTTGTTTCTAACCTCTAAACTGTCCATTCCTAAGCGTAGGCCGAACTAGCTTTGGAAAGAAACTTAGGGTATAGTTTATATAATAGCCCTTCCCAAAAGGCTAAACTGTTCTGGTAAAACTAATGAAAGGCCACCAGTCACCAAGTCAAGATGAAAGGGGCTGGAATTCTAAATATTACCAGCCATTATTCCAGAGGTTATAAGATTTGCAACTTCCCTAATTTACTCTCGAAGGTAACATCACTATTGTGAACCTAAGATCGGCCTTTTGAGATGTCTTTTCAGGTTTTTGCATTTCTAACAACCAGAGGGCCCCATCCGGACCTGCCAACCAGTTCTGTGGCCCCCACCCAGGAACTGACTCAGCAGAAGAGAACAACTTCCACTCCCCGTGAGTTCATCCCTGCGCGAACCAATCAGAACTCCCGATTCACTGGTCCCTACCCACCAAATTATCCTGAAAAATTCTGATCCCCACTGTTCGGGGAGAAGGATTTGAGTAATAATAAAAGAGTTTTGAGGAAGACTGATTTGAGTAATAATAAAACTCCAATCTCCAGCACAGCTGGCTCTGCATGAATTACTCTTTCTCTATTATAATTACCCTGTCTTGATAAATCGGCTATCCTAGGCAGCGGACAAGGCAAACCCCTTGGGCGGTTACACTGTCACCTAAGATGACTCCTGTTCACTAGCTCTGCCAGGTTGGCTGACTTGAGTCCTAAGGTGAAACTCACACGAGGAGAAGAGGATCTGCAGCCCATGTGCTGGGCAGAGGTCTTAACTGAATGGGGGATGGGTTTCCCATTCCCTTTCTATCCCTATGTTTAGGTACATGACTGATCATCCAACTCACTGGTACAAGGAAAACGGAAAGTAAAGAGAGCTGAAAAGGGCCGGGCGTGGTGGCTCACACCTATAATCCCAGCACTTTGGGAGGCCGAAGCGGGTGGATCACGAGGTCAGGAGATCGAGACCATCTGGCTAACATGGTGAAACCCCGTCTCTACTAAAAAATACAAAAAAATTAGCCAGGTGTGGTGGCGGGCGCCTGTAGTCCCAGCTGCTCGGGAGGCTGAGGCAGGAGAATGGCATGAACCCGGGAGGTGGAGCTTGCAGTGAGCTGAGATCCGGCCACTGCACTCCAGCCTGGGTGACAGAGCGAGACCCCGTCTCAAAAAAAAAAAAAAAAGGTGGGGACATACAAGGAGAGGATGTGAAGGAGGCTTTGAACTGGGAGAAAAGGTGGCAGTGAGGTGTGGCTGTAGCCCAGGAATAGTCAGGAAAGCAGATAATTTAGTTAAAATGTCTTGACCTAATAAGGGAGCTGGGCAGGTGGGGATAACTAAAAAGGAGTGCTTAAAAGAGTATTGTCTAAGTTGGCACCACAGTTGGGGAGTTTTAAGAGGTTTAGAGCCTGGCCGTCAATACCCACAACAGTTATGGAGGCAAAGGAAAAAGGACTTTGAAAAGAAGGTAATGGAGTGGGTAGCCTCTGTATTAATTAAGAAGGGGATGGACCCTCTACTGTAAGAGCTACCCAAAGCGTCTGTGATGGTCCAGGAGGCTTCAGAGGCGATCGGGCAGTGTCAGTCTTCAGCTGCTAAGCCGAAAAGATCTGGGAAGGAATCAGTCAGAGCCTTGGGCCAGCTGGACAGTCCAATTTCCAGTGAGGTCCTGCACAGATGCGACACGGCTTAGGAGGAATCCCGGGCTGCGGGCATTCCTTGGCCCAGTGGTCAGATTTCTGGCACTTGAAGCAAGATCCTGCGGGAGGAGGTCCTGAAGGAACACCTGGCCACTGTGGTTCAGGCATTTTGAAGTTCTTGTGTGCTGGAGATGTGGCTGGGGTTTCTCTCACAGTGGAGGCAAGTAATTGCAACTCAGAAATACGCTGCCTCTACTCTATTATTGTACACCTTGAAGGCAAGGTTAATTGAGTTCTGTTGTGGGGTTTGAGGGCTGGAAATTAATTTTTGGAGTTTTTTCTAATGTCAGGAGTTGACTGGGTGATAAAATGCATATTAAGAATAAGACAGCCTTCTGGCCCCTGTGGGTCTACGGCGGTAAAGTGTCTAAGGGTTGTTTCCAAATGGGCCATGAACTGGGCTGGGTTCTTTACCTTGGGTAGCTTTGTTTGTCATAATTAACAGCTTTGTAAGATGCCTTTTTAAGCCCTTCAACTAGGCAGGAAACCATGTAATCTCGCCTAGGTATACCTGGGGAATCGGCCTGATAGTTCTTTTCCGGGACCAAATGTCTCACGCATCCACGTGAGAGACCCCCAAACAGGCTTTGTGTGATCAACAAGGCTGTTTATTTTACCAAGGTGCAGGTGGGCTGAGTCCGAAAAAGGAGTCAGCAAGGGTGGTGAGATTATCATGAGTTCTTGTAGGTTTAGGGGCATGGGGTGGATCTCACAAAGTACATTCTCAAGGGTGGGGAGAATTTGGGGAGAATTACAAAGAAACTTCTTAAGGGTGGGGGAGATTATAAAGAACATTGATCAGTTAGGGTGGGGTAGAAACAAATCACAATGGAATGGAATGTCATCAGTTAAGCTATTTTCACTTCTGTGGATCTTCAGTTGCTTCAGGCCATCTGGATGTCTTCGTGCAGGTCACTGGGATATGATGGCTTAGCTTGGGCTCAGAGGCCTGACTGCATGATCTCTGCTCACTGCAACCTTCGCCTCCCAGGTTCAAGCAATTTCTGCCTCAGCCTCCCAAATAGCTGAGATTATAGGTGCACACCACCACACCCAGTTAATTTTTTTTTTTTTTTTTTTTTTTTTTTTTGAGGCGGAGTCTTCACTCTGTCGCCCAGGCTGGAGTGCACTGGCACCATCTCGGCTCACTGCAAGCTCCGCCTCCCAGGTTCGCGCCATTCTCCTGCCTCAGCCTCCCGAGTAGCTGGGACTACAGGCGCCCGCCACCGCGCCCGGCTAATTTTTTGTATTTTAGTAGAGATGGGGTTTCACCGTGTTAGCCAGGATGGTCTCGATCTCCTGACCTCGTGATCCGCCCGCCTCGGCCTCCCAAAGTGCAGGGATTACAGGCGTGAGCCACCGCGCCCGGCCAATTTTTGTATTTTTAATAGAGACAAGGTTTCACCATGTTGGCCAGGCTGGTCTTGAACTCCTGACCTCGAGATCCGCCCACCTTGGCTTCCCAAAGTGCTGGAATTATAGGCATGAGCCACCGCGTCCGGCTGGCTTTTAAAAGGAGCTTCTACAGCTTTTTTTTTTCTTTTTTTTTTTTTTTTTTGAGACGGAGTCTTGCTCTGTCACCCAGGCTGGAGTGCAGTGGCCGGATCTCAGCTCACTGCAAGCTCCGCCTCCCGGGTTTACGCCATTCTCCTGCCTCAGCCTCCCGAGTAACTGGGACTACAGGCGCCTGCCACATCACCCGGCTAGTTTTTTTGTATTTTTTTAGTAGAGACGGGGTTTCACCGTGTTAGCCAGGATGGTCTCGATCTCCTGACCTCGTGATCCACCCGTCTCGGCCTCCCAAAGTGCTGGGATTACAGGCTTGAGCCACCGCGCCCGGCCTTCTACAGCTTTTTCACAAAGGTGGTTTGTAGGTAGCACTCACGAGCTTTGGCACTCCCACCACCTGACTGAAGGCAGAACTCAGCCAGGCAGTAAAAACTTGAAACCACCAGTGGCCACAGGAAGTCATCTGCCTACCCTCCCTAACCCCATCAGTGAATTAGGAAACCAGGTTGAAACTGCTGCTAATTGCCTCAAAAGGTTAGGATTGGAATCAGTTGCCTCCAGGGCACTTGTGTGACCTTGAAAAAATCCTTTTATTTCTGAGTCTCAATTTCTTTATAAAATGGGGATGGATAGGCTGGGCGTGGTGGCTCATGCCTGTAATCCCAGCACTTTGGGAGGCCGAGGTGGGTGGATCACCTGAGGTTGGGAGTTTGAGACCACCCTGACCAACATGGAGAAACCCTGTCTCTACTAAAAATACGAAATTAACTGCGTATGGTGGCACATGCCTGTAATCCCAGCTACCAGGAGGCTGAGGCAGGAGAATCATTTGAACCCAGGAGGCGGAGGTCGTGGTGAGCCGGAGATTGCGCCATTGCACTCCAGCCTGGGCAACAAGAGTGAAACTCCGTCTCAAAAAAAAAAAAAAAAAAAAAAAAAGTGGGGATGGATAGGGCTGGGCATGATGGCTCACACCTGTCATCCCAACATCCCAACACTTTGGGAGGCCAAGGAGAGTTGATCACCTGAGGTCAGGAGTTTGAGACCAGCCTGGCAAACATGGTAAAACCCCGTCTCTACTAAAAACACAAAAATTAGCTGGGCATGGGGGCAGGTACCCATAATCCCAGCTGCTTGGAAGGCTGAGGCAGGAGAATCGCTTGAACCCAGGAGGCAGAGGTTGCAGTGAGCCGAGATCACACCACTGCACTTCAGCCTGGGTGACACAGCGAGACTGTTTCTCAAAAATAAAATAAAATAAAATAAAATAAAATAAAATAAAATAAAATAAAATGGAATAACCCTGGAACAATCTGTTATTGTGAAGACAAAGTGAAGGAACACAAATGGAGTACTAACCTGGAGCTAAACACAGCAGGGGACTTGTTTCATTCAACATCTTCTTTTTTTTTTTTTTTTGAGATGGAGTGTTGCTCTGTCGTCTCGGCTGGAGTGCAGTGGCATGATTTTGGCTGACTGCAACCTCTGCCTCCCGGGTTCAAGTGATTCTCCTGCCTCAGCCTCCCGAGTACCGAGTAGCTGGGATTATGAGTGCATGCCACCATGCCTGGCTTTTTTTTTTTTTTTTTTGTATTTTTAGTAGCGATGGGGTTTCATCATGTTGGCCAGGCTGGTCCCAAACTCCTAATCTCTAATGATCCACCTGCTTCAGCCTCCCAAAGTGCTGAGATTACAGGCATAAGCCACTGCACCTGGCCTCACTCAACAAACATCCAGGGCCCACTGTGTACCAGCCAGGCTGTCTATGCTAGGGGATGGGGGTATATCAATAAGACAAACATGGTCCTCACGTTGCTTACAGGAGAGGAGGGATGACAGACAATGAGAGGGACAGTATGGGGTGATGCATAAGGCAACCAGGTTGATACCCCAGCCCTACCACCTGGGTGACCCCAGACAAGCTCATTTTTTTTGTTGTTGTTGTTTTGTTTTGTTTTGTTTTGAGACAGGGTCTCACTCTTTCACCTAGGCTAGAGTGTGGTGGTGTGATCACAGTTTACTGCAGCCTTGACCTCCCAGGCTCAAGCAATCCTCCCACCTCAGCCTCCCAAGTAGAGCTGGGACTACAGGTGCATGCCACAATGCCTAGCTAATTTCTTAATTTTTTGTAGAGATGGGGTCTCCCTATTTTGTCCAGGCTGGTCTCGAACTCCGAGGCTCAAGCGACCCTCCCACCTGGGCCTTCCAAAGTGCATTCTCCCCACCTACACACCCCTTTGTGACCCAATGGAGTCAGGTGTGTCCGGGTTTGAACGGCTAGGCAAATAATTTATCGAGTGTTGTGAACATTCAGCCATAAACGCAGCGACCTAACCCGAACGCCCAATTCATCGTATGTTCTCAGTAAATACCAGTTTCACGTTTTTCCTCTCTAAACACAATCTTTTCTCCTTCTCCTCACTAGCAGGCTGGGAGGGCCAAAAGGAGGAGATTAGGATTGGGGAGAAACTGACTCTTAGGCAGCAGGGGAGAAAGTGTGTTTTTTATTTATAGTGCCATTTGCAAAAGGGGCAAACTGTCTGTCACCACCCCCTCCACCAACTTTACGGGCGGTGGAGGGTGAGTCACTCCTCCCGTTACCCCCCGCAACCCTCAGTAACCTATAACCTGGGGAAAGGGTCCCGAGAGCCGGGCCGGGACGCTGCGCCGCTGGGTTTAGGACCCGAGAGCGGAATGGGCAGGAGGTGGAGGTGCACTTCTGCAAATCTCAGGAACCGGAGCCCTGGAGGCGGCGGATGAGAAAGTCCGCAGCCCTGGCAATTTGGGGTGTGTGGGCAGGGATTTAGCGTATGTCCACAGCCTCTCTAGTGAGGGTGCCCCCACCCACGCTCCTCGGAAGGGCAGCGCTCCATCGCCACCCTGCTACCCTTTCCCCAAGCGCCCAATCCCACCTTGGCTGGCGCTCCGGGAGCCTCCGGGGGCGGAGGGAGGCGTGGCCTCGGGCGGCCCGCCCCTTTGATGTGCGCCGGCGCCTCTGTGATTGGACAGTCGCTTGTGACGTGTGGGGACTGCGGTGGGCTCCGCTGCTGCAGCAGCCGCAGCGCCGGCCGTGGCTCCGGCTCCGGCTCCGGCTCCCGGGCATTTAAAGGGGACGCGGCGGCTGCCCGGGGGGATGGGGGGCAAGTGGAGGGGACGGCTCAGACGCACATCGTCCTCAGTCCCTCGGGACTGGAGGGACTCGTGAGCCGGAGCCCAGAAATCCGGGGGTGGATAAGACACCGCGTCCCCTCCAATTCCCGTAAGCACCCCTTGCTCCATCCGGCGCCCCAATACCTCAGCTAGCCCCCTTCCCCACTTCTTACACACCAAACTCAGCCGGGACAGACCTCTGCCGCCGCCGCCCCCACGTGAGTCCTGGGCTCCGGGAGATAGGGGAGGGCTGGGGTCCCGGCGCGGGGTGGGGGCTGTGGAGTTTGAAGGCGCTCCTTCACGCGCGTGGCAGTGGGGGAGTTCTGGAGCTCAGGAGTGAGTCCCCTTCTCTCTCCTACCCAGGAACATAGTGCTGGAGTATCCCTCCGTCCCCGACTCTGGCAAAGCCAAGGAATTGGTGTCCCCTTGCTCCCTGCCACCCACAATACCCCTCCCCAGCCGCGCACCCCCCGCCCGCATTGGAGCCCAGCGCCCGCCAGCTGGGGGTGCGCCAGAGTGCTGGCTTCCTAGTCACCTCTAAAAATATCTCTCCCCCAACCCTACCGGCAGCTGCCACCTCCCTGCCCCTGCCCCTGCCCCTAGGATCCCCTCCCAGATTGTCCTCCCAGCCAGGCAGTGCCCAGAGGTGACTGCTAGACCCAGACGCCTCACTGGCACCAGGGCGCAGGGCCACCACCGCCAGCTGGTCAGGACCGCAAGCTCTCAGCCCACGAGAGTCTCCAGGGCCAAGGGGGGAGCTCCAGCTGCAATATTCCCAAAAGGCGCCAGAGACTCCTGAGTTCTCGGTTCCGATGCTGTGTGACCCCCAGGATGTTAGCTTGACCTCTCTGGGCCTCTGTTTTTCCTATCTGCTGTTCAGGCGTGGTGAGCAAGGAAGATGGTCATGTTTGGGAGCACTGTCTGGGAGAGGGAGGGAATTCTAGCTTAGTTGTTGGATCTGATTTCTAGTGACTGATACAAGGAGACTTGTTTTTGGACAGAGAGGGCTTGTTACCGTGGTCTTTCTGGAGTCCTCGCCTCCCCATCCTCATTCTGAACATTTCCTGTGGAAAACTATGCCAAAACTTTTCTAGGAACTCCATCCACCCAGTAAGAAGGGAATTTCAAACTTAGGGCCTGTATCAGAGAGGGGCCTGTTTCCCTCCCACCCCCTTCCCACATATTTAATCTAAGAGCATTTGTGTGAAAGGCGGGAGAAGCAGGCAGGAATCTGACTCGGTGCAGAATTAAGGAGGTAGGCACTACTTTTAGGTGGGACTAGAATATGGACTCCCTGCAAGCCCCTAGAAACCCTTCTCCCTTCTCTAGCCTGTTAGAGAAGCTCAGATCCTGCCCCCTACTCTGAGGGACTCTGGTGACCACAAAAGGATTTGATGACTCAGAACAAAGGTGTCAGAGGTGAGAGACCTTTTGGAACATCACAGGAGCCAAAGTCCAACAGGGGAAGGGGTTCCTCTGACTCCTGTGGGGTGGGGACGAGGTGTCACGGCATGGTCTTCTCAGTTTTCAGGGGAAGAAACCCAAGATGCCTGACTTTCTGCCTTGGAGACTAAAAGAAACAAGGGCAACTCACCAAACAATAAGTGTTTAACTGAATCCCCTAGATACTATTATTAGCAGAAAAATGTAACTGTCTTTTATGATGACATATGAGGAATTTTGTGTGTGTGTGTGTGTGTTTTGGGGATGGGGTTACTCCCTCTGTCACCCAGGCTGGAGTGCAGTGGTACCATCACAGCTCACTGCAACCTCTGTCTCCTGGGTTCAAGTGATCCTCGTGCCTCAGCCTCCCAAGTATCTGGGACTATGGGCACAAGTCACCATTCCCAGCTCATTTTTGTTTTTAAAGAGACAGGATTTTGCCATGTCACCCAGTCTGGTCTCAAACTCCTGGACTTAAGTGATCTGCCTGTCTCGGCCTCCCAAAATGTTGGGATTACAGGCTTAAGCCACCCTGCCTGGCTGAAAAAATGAGAAGTTTTGACCATAATTAATGGTCAATAGAATAGAAAAAAGGAAGGAAGGAAGGAAGGAAGGAAGGAAGGAAGGAAGGAAGGAAGGAAGGAAGGAAGGAAGGAGAGAAGGAAGGGAGGAAGGAAAAGAAAGAAAAAGAAGGAAAGAAGGAAGGAAGAAAGAAAAAGGAAAGAAAGAGAAAGGAAAGAAAGAAAGAGAGGAAGGAAGGAAGGAAGGAAGGAAGAGGGCAAAGTAATGAGACCCTTCTCTATGGGATGAAAGCTGGTCCCTGGGTAGCTGCTGGTGACCCCTTGGAATCTTTGTATCTGCCCCTTGCTTCTCCACGTGCTGCATGTGCCTGTCCTGTTTGCTTTTACAAGGGGAGTGGCATCCCTGACCTTTCTCTTATAAATCACCTGGCTGAGGTTGGACATGTGATATCAGCTGGGAATCTGGAAGGTTGGAAGTCCCTCCAGATAGGGACTGGGGACAGCTCCAACCCATGCCATTTCCTTGTCCCTCATGCAACCCTCCCCTTCTCTCCCACCTCCTCCTTAATCTCTCTTCTCTCCCATCCCTCACCCTCTCTTTGCCCACTGCTTCATTCAGCTTTGACCACCTCTCCCAATTCCTAGATTAGAAGTTCTTGGAAAAAACTGAGAGCCGCATTCCATCCCTGCAGAAGGATTTAACACATATGTGGTCCAGGTGTTGTGAGGGAGGGGGTGCTGCAAGATGGATAGTGCTAGAGCCTGTGCCCTGCTCCTGGGATGTCCTTGTCTCTGTCCTGGGGCAATTGCTTCTCCCTCCTGGATAGTCAGGGGAGAGTGTCACCTTGACAGAGGGGTTTACAGTCACCATTGTCACCACCAGAGGGCAGCAGCCAGCCAGACCTTTGCTCCTCTCCAGGTCTTGTCTCCTGGCTCTCTGTATCTTTCCAAATCTTGTCCCAGCTGCCTCTGGTCTCACGCAACCCCAGGAGCACAGGTGGGAGAGTAGAGAGGCACTGGAAGTTGTAGGTGGTATCCTTTGCCGCTCTCTTAGTAAAGTCCCCAAGAGGTGAAACCCAGTCCCCAAAGCCACACCAAAGTCTAGCCAAGATTTCAACCTGACTCTCCCGTCTGACTACCGGACCCCTGACAGCACCAGGGAGGCCATTCCCAGATCACCTGTGAGACCTGACTAGGGGTCCCAGACCCCAGCTATGGTATAGTAAGCTTTGGTCATCTTCCTTTTTGAGGGCACGAGGAAGGCAAAGCTGCGGTCAAGCGTTCACGAAACAGTCTATGCCCCCTGTAAACAGCGTGGCTGGTTAGTTAACCTCTCTGAGCCCTTCTCATTGGCTGAATTTATGACTAATGAGTAGTGAGAGAATATGAGTAAAGGTGGTTTGTAAACTATGATGTGTCAAACACATTTAAGGGACAATGATGATACTAGAGAAAAAACACTGGACTCAGGCTCAGATGTGGGTTTGAGATCGGTCTGCCATTTACAGTGGGTGACTTTTTGGAAAGTCAGTTAACTTCTCTGGGTCTCCGATACCATCTGAAACCTCTCTAGAGTTGTAGGTGCTGGGCCTATTTGAGGGATTGTTTTTGCTAAGACCCTGGGAGTGCCTCCTGTGGCTCAGCAGAAGGACCAGGGCCAGGTGGGTATTCCTAGTGGAAGCAAAGGCAGCTGACTGGGCACCCTCAAATGACCTTTTGTGGTTGTCAGGAACGTTTGACGACGGCTGGAGGCCAACAGAGTCCCTACAGGTGGTGCCCACGGTAATGCACCGACAATGAGTGGCTGTTTTCCAGTTTCTGGCCTCCGCTGCCTATCTAGGGTAAGTGGGTCCCTCTGGGGGTCTCCTAGGATGAGGCCTCAGCCCCCAGTTTTCCATCACCTTTCCATAGGGCCTTGGGAGAGGCCCTATCCAGCCCATTTTAGGTTTACCCTCACCTCTACTGGAGCTTCATGATTTCCTAGAAGCTTCCATCCCAGGTGTGGGGTCCTGATGCTTTATATCTGCAATTTGAAGGATCCTGGGCCACCGAAATGCCCACTGGATGTTGATGAGACCATAGGGTGACTCTAGGGATGAGGTGGAAGGGACAGCTTGGTTAGGACAGCAGATAGTCCATCGAAATCCCAGCCCTGAAATGAGGAGCTTGGGCTTCTGTTTCACAAGGTGTGCCAGGCCATAAGCACCCCAGGAATATGAGAGAGGGGTTTAGGAAGAAACCAGAAAGAGGAACAATCCCATCTCAATTAACTGGGGTGGGAGCTGGGCGGGAGAAAAGCAGTGTGTGGGTATCTGGAAGCTGCACATCACCTGCTCACTGCCCCTCTGCGCCTCTCACACACTGGCAGGCAAAGGTGATGGAGACTTGCTGCTGAGGGCTCTTGCTGCCTCCATTGCTTGCCTTTCCTTGTGCCCTGACATGTCCCCTGTTGTCCTCTGTCCTCTCCCTTGCTGCCTACTACCCTCCCGTCCAACATGACTCTGGCCCAAGGTCTCCACTTCCTGGAACTCCCCTATCCCTACCCCTACTCTGTCTTCCTGTCCAGCAGTCTGTCTCCAAGATCCCCTAGCATGATTTCCTTTCAGCCCTCTCCTCCATACCCCTTAAGTCCCCACTACCTGGCCCTTCCCACTCCTCTGCCTTTTCAGCCACTGCTGCTCTCTCTCTTCTCCCTTACCTGTCTCCCAGGTATGTCGTGGCCTGGTGCGGGAGGCTCTTACCTCCCCAAGCCCCACTGCTTCTCCTGCTGCCCGCTTGCTTCGGACTCTGGCAGAAACCCCACCCGCTGACACGTTCCTCCTGGGGAATTGGCAAGTGATTAGTGATGAGCTGTCAGCACAGGGCCCTCAAACTCCCTGGAGAAGCTGTGCCCCATCCCTAGACCTCTGTCCAGTGCCATTGGGCTGGAAGCAGCTCCCAGAGAGCCATAGATTCCCCACAGCCCAAAAGTTGAATGGGGAAGCCGGTCCAGTTGGGTGGATGGGTGGTTTCCCTTGACTGCCTCAGGGAATGAGGAAGGGGAGAGTTCCCACCACCCTCTCTTGATCCACACGAACAACAGGGGCCACTGGAAGTCTCCAAAACAGTCCAGTCCAGAAACCTCCCCAAAGTGGTGATCCTCGGAAGCTGCTCTTCCCTTCTTTTGACCCTTGTTAAGCCCCATTGGTCCCTGATGAGAGTACCGAAAACAGGTGCCGGGAAGCCCTCTGGGCATAAACCCCGGTGCAGTTAAGTAAGAGGTGCCACTGGGGTAGTCAGGGAAGGCTGGGGATAGAGGTGGTGGCATTGGGTACTCCTCCCAGCTTAACCAGACTTGGGTCCTCCTCAGGTCTTGGATGTGCCAGCACCTCTGGCCGTGGCCCGCTAACCAGCCTCTCCCGGGCGGGCTCCTGCCGCGCCCCCTCTCGCTTGCTCCCTCCTCCTCCTCCTCCTGCTGCTCTCCCCCCTGCTCCCAGGACGGCGGGATGGCTGCGCAGGGCGCGCCGCGCTTCCTCCTGACCTTCGACTTCGACGAGACTATCGTGGACGAAAACAGCGACGATTCCATTGTGCGCGCCGCGCCAGGCCAGCGGCTCCCGGAGAGCCTGCGAGCCACCTACCGCGAGGGCTTTTACAACGAGTACATGCAGCGCGTCTTCAAGTACCTGGGCGAGCAGGGTGTGCGACCGCGGGACTTGCGTGCCATCTACGAAGCCATCCCTTTGTCGCCAGGCATGGGCGACCTGCTGCAGTTTGTGGCTAAACAGGGCGCCTGCTTCGAGGTGATTCTCATCTCCGATGCCAACACCTTTGGCGTGGAGAGCGCGCTGCGCGCCGCCGGCCACCACAGCCTGTTCCGCCGTATCCTCAGCAACCCATCAGGGCCGGATGCGCGGGGACTGCTGGCTCTGCGGCCGTTCCACACACACAGCTGCACGCGATGCCCCGCCAACATGTGCAAGCACAAGGTGCTCAGCGACTACCTGCGCGAGCGGGCCCACGATGGCGTGCACTTCGAGCGCCTCTTCTACGTGGGCGACGGCGCCAACGACTTCTGCCCCATGGGGCTGCTGGCGGGCGGCGACGTGGCCTTCCCACGCCGCGGCTACCCCATGCACCGCCTCATTCAGGAGGCCCAGAAGGCCGAGCCCAGCTCGTTCCGTGCCAGCGTGGTGCCCTGGGAAACGGCCGCCGACGTGCGCCTCCACCTGCAACAGGTGCTGAAGTCGTGCTGAGTCTGGCCGCCTGCAGGGGGGCACCCTGGCCAACGGCGGAGGGGGCGGGGAAGGGGGATTCGGGAAAGACAAAGTTAGTTTTACTACTCCCTTTTCCCTTTGGCTTTGCTATGTCCCTCCGGGAATTTCTGGAATCTCGTCTTTAGGGGCTTGGGGAAGGGGGCTCAGAGCCGTCCCTATCTATGCAGTTAACCCACCTCGGCTGCCTCCCCCGCTCCACTGCGCACGGTTGAGTTCTGGAGTCTGACCCATCGCGGGGTGGCGCGCAAACCTTGGAAGGCAGCAGTGTTTCCTGGTCCTACCAACTGGGAGGAAGGGGCTCCCTGGCAGGTGAGAGAAGGAACATCTCCCGCCGCTGTAACTGTTGCCTCGGGCTGCGTGACTGCCCCCCCTCCAGTCTGCTGTGGAGGGAACCCAGGATCCTGAAATTCTCCTGGCCACAAGGACTCCCCACGGACAGAAGAGGGTCTTCACCTATGGCCCTAGGCCTTTGCGATCTTGCTTCACCCAACGCGACCCCACACTATTTCTGTGCTGTCTACACCCTCTTGCCTCCCGACCTCCGCACTCCCTTCTAGCACCCCCAACGGAAAAGCCAGAGGGAACAATTGCCTCCTGGTGGTGGTACGAGGTAGCGCACCGTCCGGCCCGGGTCCTGCCAGCCAATAACCTCGCAGCGTGTGACGGTGTCTCCTTGCACCCCAGCCTCATCTATGCAGCAAGAGACCAGGGACTTTACCAAAGTCACCCTTGCGGGCTGGGCCCTCCACGCATCCCCCTCCCAACCCCCATGGAACAGAAAGCCATGATGTTTTTAAGCAGAACCAGCGAAACCCAAGCCCCTCCTTCCTCTGGTGTTTTACAACTATAAAGGAGGTGAAGGGGGAAGAAATGACTGAGATCTCTGGCGCGTCAGTCTGAGTTGAGAGTGAGGTGCTCTAGGAGAGTCCCGCTTAAGTCAGGGAGATGGTTCCCACTCTTGGGCAAGTGCCCAGCCACATATGAACACATCACACACACAGCAAGCAATGGGCAAAAGAACAAGTTGCAGTCAATGGCTGCAGAGGGGTGTCTGGGGTCCAATGTGGCCTGCACTTTGTGGGTACTGAGGGAATGGGAAGATGCTGCTTCTGGGGCAGCTGGTGGGTTGGAGGTTGGGGGCTGTAATTAGCAGCAGCCTTAGAATTGGGATGCCTTTCAATCCCTCCTGGCCCCTTATCTCCGTGGGGCAGTCACAGGACGTCATCCATTTTATTCAAAGTTGAGACTTGCAGCAGGAGACCCTGCCCTGCATGGAGTAGGGGTCCTCTGTTGACAAACTTCTTGGTTTCCAGCTCTTCCCCATCTGCAACAGGCCTCTGGGTAAGTTCTCTCTCCGCAGGACCCCTTCCCTCCACGATGGGAGGAGGGACAGAACACAGCTCACAGCCCAAGAGCTGGGCAGACCCAGTCCAGCCGTGACTGGAGCTGGTTTTGGCCTGGGGCTCATGAAACCCACTCAGTGCAGGCATCAGCTGCCCAGAGAGCCCTGGGCTGTCAGCAGCTGGGCTCCACATAGTTTCCGGGGAAGAATCCAGTCCCCTCTGAGCTGATGCCCTCGCACCAGCCATCGGAGTAGCGGCGAGTGACACAGATGACAGTGCCCTCAGAGAAGGAGAGCTCATTGTCCTTCTGGCCGATGTATGGGTACAGTGTCACCACTGCAGGGCAAGAGAAGAGGGTGCTGTGAGATATGCCTCTTGCCCTCTCCCCCACCCACCCCCACCGCCATGGGGATGCAGGGTCTCAAGTACTAGACTCTAGGGACCATCTTGAGGGGCTTCCAAGCCTTTAGGACCCCTCCCCAGCTTAGTTAATATTTACTACCAAGCCAGCTGCCCTCTCCCCAGTTCTGTTCTGAACTCAGTTCGTCAGAAAAATTGTGTAGGGAGCCCGGGGGATAGATTCACACCTTTGCAGAGGGAGGAGAATGGGGGTCAGGACAACAGAGGCAGAAGCTGGGAAGTGGGATCCGGTGCCCCTCAGTCCCAGAAGTCAGGTACCTTTCTCCAAGTATGAGGCAGGCACCCAGCTGGGCTCATCAGGCCCAAAGCCTGGTGGGGGTGGAGGCAGCCCTAATTCATCTCCATCCAGGGGTGGAGGAGGAGGCAGGTCCAGTGGCAGGGGCAGCTCTTCGTCTTGGGGGAAAAGCAGAAAGGCTGTAAGTGTGGCACAGGAAGCTCCTTCAGTGTGTCAGGGATCTGCTCGAGAGCTGGGCCCCAGAATCCACCCATCTCAGCCAGGCGCGTTGGGAGGCCAAGGTGGGCAGATCACCTGAGGTCAGGAGTTCGAGACCAGCCTGGCCAACATGTGAAACCCCATCTCTACTAAAAATACAAAAATTAGCTGCACATAGTGGCACACGCCTGTAATTCCAGCTACTCAGGAGACTGAGGCAGGAGGATGGCTTAACCCAGGAGGTGGAGGTTGCAGTGAGCTGAGATCTTGCCAATGCACTCCAACCAACCTGGATGACAGAGTGAGACTCCATCTCAAAAGAAAAGAAAATAAAAAGAATGCACCCATCTCATGCAATCTTCCTCCAGCCCTCTCCTGTCCTGGTCCTCCCACGGTGTGCTAGCGCATAGTAAGTGCTCAGTAAACCCTGAAAGATCCAGCACTAGAGGACAGTCAGACTCTACCTCTTATTAGCTGGGTGGCTCTTGGGCAAGTCACTGAACTTCAGCTTCAGTGGCTTCATCTATTAAGGAAGAGTGCTAAGGACCCTCTCGTGATTAAGTTTATTTTGTTTTGTTTTATTTTATTTTTTTGAGAGGGAATCTCGCTCTGTCACCCAGATTGGAGTGCAGTGGGGTGATCTCAGCTCACTGCAGCCTGGAGGCCTCCCGGGTTCAAGTGATCCTCCTGCCTCAGCCTCCTGAGTAGCTGGAATTACAGGCATGCACCACCAGCCAGGCTAATTTTTGTATTTTTAGCCATGTTGGCCAGGTTGGTCTCAAACTCTTGACCTCAAGTGATCTGCCCTCCACAGCCCCCCAAAGTGCTAGGATTACGGCCGTTAGCCACCCCACCTGGCCTTTAGGATTAAGTTTATTATTATTATTTTTGAGAGGGAGTTTCACTCTTGTTGCCCAGGCTGGAGTGCAATGGCCGGATCTCCACTAGCCGCAACCTCTGCCTACCGGGTTCAAGCGATTCTCCTGCCTCTGCCTCCCAAGTAGCTGGAATTACAGGCATGTGCCATCACGCCCGGCTAATTTTGTATTTTTAGTAGAGCCCGGGTTTCTCCATTTTGGTCGGGCTGGTCTCGAACTCCCGACCTCAGGTAATCCGCCCGCCTCGGCCTCCCAAAGTGCTGAGTTTACAGGCATGAGCCATCGCGCCCGGCCAGGATTAAGTTTAAATAAGAAAATGGACGAGAAGCTTCGAACACAGGGTCTGGTATACAGCAGGCGCTAAGTTATGTTAGTTCACTTCCTCCGCCTCCTTTCGCTCCCGTGCTGCGCTCCATGGAGGAGGCATTCACTGAGGCTGGCTGGGGCAGATCCAAGAGAGGTGGGCTGGGGAATGGCAGGAGGCGGAAAAGCGACCCCACGGTTGGGAAGAAGAAGGGGGCGGAGCTCCTTACCCGGTGGGGGTGGGGACAACTCCTCTAGCGGGGGAGGCCGCTGGAACACCTCGACGGCTGCTGGTGGAGGAGGTGGGTCCAAGGAGTTGGGGAGAGGTGGGGCTGGAGGTGCTGCCTGCCCCTTGGGCATGGAGGCCCCACCGACACCTTCGGCGCTGCTGAACACCAGAGAAAGCGGGGCTCGGCCCGGTTGGCGACACGCCTTCCCTAATGCAGCATCCCCAGCTGGCCCCACCCCTCCAATCCTGAACCCAGCCCTGCACGTGTGACCCAGGACTAACTGGGTCCTTTCAAGCCCAGGAGTCACTATGACCACTGGCAGGAGGCCCCTCTCGAAAGCCACCTCCCACCCCTCACCCTCCCACGCAGGCTTGTAGGTCTCACCCTGCCGAGGCCAGGGAAGAGGCGGAGGAGGCGGCGGAGAGTCTGCCGTCGGGTACCACCGGGAGGTGCACTGGCTCGGGAATCCGGGGTGGTCTCCTGGCGGGGGTCGGGGAGTGGGTATTAGGAGGAAGGAGGAAGGCTTCTGGCCAGCAGGGGTCGGGTGTGAGCAGGAAAGGCATGTGGCCGAGGGGGAGGTTTGGCGCCAGGCATCCAGCATGACGGCCTGAGCACCCAGGCGCCAGGGGTGGGTGGCGAGGCTGGGGGAGGAGAGTTTCAGGGTCGCGCGGGGTAGGGCTAGGCTAGTTGGCGAGGCCTCACCCCAATGTGGCGGAGACGGGTGTGGCAGGGGCCTTGATGCTCTTTCGAGACAGGGTGCCTGTCCTTGACAGCTGCGTGCTGAGGTCCTGCGAGGGAGCGGGAGGTAGGGCTGACATTTGGGGTGAGAGGCCGCTCCCCACCCTCATCCCCAAGAGGAAATGGAGGAGGGGCGGACGAGAACCGGGAGGGAGAGCCCAGCATGGCCAGTTCCCACTTCCACTTCTCAGGGCCCTCTCCTACACTTCCCCCAAGCTACCCCCTTGTCATTGCCTGGGTTCTGGGACTCAATTCTACCAAAGCCGACAGCCACTTCCTCTGCACAGCCACAGCGGATTGAGTGGGCCCGGCACCCCTGTCCCTCCTCCAAACCATCTCAGAGCCCAGGAAGCTGAGGCCCTGGCTTAGTTAGTAGTCCCTAACTTTGATTGGGCTGAGGAGGCGGTGGGGAAAGGAGAGGACACATCACACTTAGAAGTGTCCCACCTGTCATTTTCGAAGATTTGTGGAATTGGCTTTGGGGAGTTAGGGCAGAGAGGAGCAGGACCCAGGCCACTTAGAGGGGATGTGCAAATGACAGGGCGCACACCCACATGAAAGAGGGAACTTCTGTTACCAATGGGACTTCCCCAAGGGGTGGGTACAGTGTTACCTCATAGGCTTCACCAGGGGCAAGACGAAAGGGATTTGAGCTGAAGCACAAAGAATATAAGTTGGGCTGGGAGCGGTGGTTCACGCCTGTAATCCCAGCACTTTGGGTGGCTGAGGCAAGCAGATCACCTGAGTTCAGGAGTTCAAAACCAGCCTGGCCAACATGGAGAAACTCCATCTCTACTAAAAATACAAAAAAAAAAAAAAATTAGCCAGGCATGGTGGCAGGCACCTGTAATCCCAGCTACTCGGGTGGCTGAGGCAGGAGAATCACTTGAACCCAGGAGGTGGAGGTTGCAGTGAGCCAAGATCACGCCATTGCAATCCAACCTGGACAACAAGAGTGAAACTCCATCTCAAAAAAAAAAAAAAAAGAATATAAGTTGGACAACAGAGACCTTACTGGTGGGGAGGAGGCCTGGTGGTTGAAGGGGAGAGTGTGGTTTCCCCTTTAAGGGGGGCTGATAAGTTCAGGATATCAAGGGGTTCATTTCAATACAGAAATGTCAAGGTGTGGAGACAGGAATTGAAGACGGGACGGGTGTGAGTGCGTGCCCTCTCCGACCTCGCAGAAGGACGTGGGCTGAGAAGACGCCAGCGCCATGCTCCCCTCTCTTCACCAAGTCCCCTTTGTGTGGCTGCATCCCCGCTTCTTCTCACCAAAGCAGCTGTGGGGTGACTGCTCAGTGCAGTGACCTCAAACCCCCAGACAGAGGAAGTTGCTGTTCTCATGTGGCTGGGAGCCATTCTCATGCACACCCTGACATCCTCCCTTCCCCCTCTTCCCCTTCCCACATGCCCGGTGGCACAGGGGCAGGGCGGGGGGGCGAGGGGTGCTCAGGATCTCACACTCAGCAGATCCTCTGAGGACGGTACAGACCAGTTTTGGAGGGAGGGATTACAAAATCTAGGGA